CCCGCCGCCCGTGCCCGTGCCGCAGAGCGCCGCCGTGCCGCTCGGAGCCGTTTATTTACAGGGGGGTGCCGGTACAGCGCGGAGCGGCGGCGGGGCACGGGGCCCGGACACGCGTTAACGGCCCCCCGTCCTGGCGCTGATACAAACGGGCGGGGGGGGCCGGGTTTCCACACGCCCCCCCAGGCTGGGGCGGCGGAACCGGGGCGCGGGGCGGCACCGATCGCTCCCGGTCCTCGCTGCGGCAGCCGGAGCAGCCGCGGCGGGATGGAGCGAGCCCGGGGCGGCTCCGTGCGACCCCTCGCAGCCGGTGCCACCGGCAGCGCCTTCCCGGAGCGCGGCTCGGTACCGGCCCGGGAGGCGGCAGCCCCCGCCGGCCGCACGGGGCGAGCGCGGCCCAGGGTGCGTGACCGGGACGCTGGTGCCGGTGGGGACGGCGCTACTGGGTCTGCGCCCGGCGGGGCTTGATGTCCCGCGTCTTCATGTAGGAGAGGAGCTGCTCGGGGATCTCGGCCAGCACGTCCTTGGCCAGGCGGGCCATGCTCAGCACCTGGTTCCCGGAGCGGTCCACGTAGTCCCGGAAGGGCACGAACTGCGGGAGCCGGCGGGGCGCTGGGCACGGGGCCGCGGCGGGCGCGCACCGAGACCCCGCCGGCCCCGCTCCCGCCGGCACCTGCACGATGTCCCGCTCGGCGTAGCGGCCCCGCGACGACACCCGCACCTCGTCGCCGTCCAGCTCCTCCATGGCTGCAGCGGGGGGGACCGTCAGGACCCCGTCGGGCTCCCGTCCCCTCCCGTGAGCCCCAGCTCACCCTCAAACTCAGCCGGTCCCACTCCCACGATGATGATGGACATGGGCAGGGCGGAAGCCTGGCGAGCAGAGCCACCCGTCGTGATCCAAAGCCCCTCGCGAGGCTCCTCCGCTCCCCACCGCGTCCCCAGCACGGGACGGGGCCGCGCGGGTGCCATCCGAATGGGCCACGTAGGGTGACTGGGGGGGGACGGGGCGCCCCGCGCACTCACGCTCACGATGGCCTCCTTGGTCTGCAGCATGTCGGAGATGACGCCGTCGGTGATGATGAGGAGCACGTGGTACTGGGAGCCGTCGGTGACCTGGGCGGCCGCGCTGCGGGGACAGACACGCGGGTCCCCAAACACGGGGCGCCACGGCGGGAGCCGCGCGGCCCTCGCGCCGGCGCGTTGCGGCGCTCACCCGGCCACCTGGTTGATGACGGGCGCGAAGTTGGTGGGCCCGTAGAGCTGCACGGTGCGCAGGCTCTGCAGGTAGCACTCGAGGACGCCGTCGATGCCGGCGCAGCTGGGGTTCTCGGCGTTGTTGTTCTGCGGGGCGGCCCGGCACCGCGCGGGCGCGTGGGTCCCGGGCCCCACGCCACCCCGTGCCATCCTGCACCCCAGGACCGTGCGGTGCCACAGAGCAGCGCCCGCACCACGCAGGAAATCTGGGCTCATCCCTTCCCCACGACAGGGACAGCTGGGCTCATCCCTGACCCCCCAAACAGGGACATTTGGGCTCATCTTTGCCCTACAACAGGGATGTCCTTATCCCTCCATGGTGGGGACATCTGGGCTCATCCCTGGCCCATGGTGGGGACATTTGGACTAATCCCTGCCCTATGACAGGGATGTCTGGGCTCATCCCTGCCCCACCGTAATGGGTACCTTTGGATTTATCCCTGCCCTGTGACAGGGATGTCCCTGTCCCCCCATGATGGGGACATCTGGGCTCATCCCTGGCCCATGGTGGGGACATCTGGGCTCATCCCTGCCCATGAGGCACAGAGACATCCGGGTCCACCAGCTCCACAGAGGCCAACGCTCTCCTCCCATCCCACCCCACAGCAGGGAAGTTGGGGTCCCCCACGTCCCACAGCAGGGAGGTCGGGGTCCCCCACGTCCCACCGCAGGGGGGTCCCCGTGCGCCCCCCGGCCCTGCCCGGGGCAGGGGGCTGCGGGGCGCCCCGCGCACCAGGGGGAACTGGTGGGAGATCTTGCCGTCGGGCGGGAGCTTGGCGCCGAAGCCGTAGGCGGGGAAGAGCTTGTCGCTGTCGTAGTCCTGGATGATCTCGCCGACGGCCTTGAGCGCCAGCGCGTAGGCGCTCAGCTGGTAGGGGCTCGCGTAGTGCAGCGAGGTGGGCTGCGACGGCAGCCCTGCGGCACGGCGCCCTCAGCAGCCGCCCCACGGCCGCCCCACGGCCGCCCCACGGCGCCGCGCTCACCGTTGGACGCTGTGAAGTCGATGGCCACGGTGAAGTTCAGCTGCGTCCTTAGGGGAGAGGGAGGAATGCAGGTGGAATGCATGTGGTGTCCTCTAGCCCCATGGCATGGGGATCCCATCTTCCAACCCCACATCCATGGCAGGGGGATCCCATCCTTCACTCCATCCCCATGGCATGAGGATCCCATCTTCTAGCCCCAGATCCATGCAGGGGGATCCCATCCTTCACTCCAGCCCTGTGGTACAGGGCATCCTCCAGCTCCATGGCGCCATGGTGAGGGGTATCCCATTCTCCAGAATCACAGTATGGAGACCCCATCCTTCACTGCAACCCCACGGCATGGAGATCCCATCCTCCAACTCCACAGCATGGGAATCCCATGCTGCAGCTCCATGGCATGGAGATCTCATCCTCCAGCTCCACGACATGGGAATCCCATTGTCCAGGTCCACGGCATGGGAATCCCATTGTCCAGGTCCACGGCATGGGAATCCCATCCTCCAGCTCCATGGCGTGGGAATCCCATTGTCCAGGTCCACGGCATGGGAATCCCATTCTCCAGCTCCACGACATGGGAATCCCATCCTCCAGCTCCATGGCATTAGGATCCCACCCTCCAGCTCCATGGCATGGGGGTGCCAACCTTCAGCTCTACGGCATGGGAATCCAGTTCTCCAGCTCCATGGCATGGAGATCTCATCTTCCAGCCCCACGGCCCAAGGATCCCATCCTTGGCCCCAGCGCCACAGTAGGGGACATCTGCCCACCCCATGGCATCCTACCCCCTACGCTGGCACCGTCCCCGCTCACCCTCCGCGGATGTAGTCCACGAAGGTGAACTCGGACTCCACGGAGAAGGAGAGCAGCGTGACCTGCGGGCGAGCGGGCTGAGCGCCGCGCCGAGCCCCGGCCGCCCCGGCCCCGGCCGCACTCACGGTGCCCGAGTTGA